CCGTTCGCAATGCCAAGCACAGGGGCAGACACGGAGCAACCGCTCCGCGACGCTAAAGCCTGTCCACAGGAGGGTTCTAGGGTCGAGGCTCCAGCCCCGAAAGAGCGCTCTCGGGCCCGCTTCCCGTCACCTGGGATCTGAGCCCCGGCCCGGCCCACCTTGTTGTTGTACTCCTCCACGAAGCTGCCCAGCGCCAGGCGAAAGCGCTTGTCTGGCCGCACGCTCCAGTTCATTGCGTAGACGGTCCAGGGCGCTTCATACTTGTAGATCTCCTTCCGTTTGCCGTGAAGGGACATCGTGGCCGCGGGGCCGCAGAGCGGGAGGGGGCTGCGGCGGGCTGCGGCTGGTGGGGTACGAGTTGGGCAGGGAGCCGGGCCTGGGACGCAGGAATCGGAAGGGAGGCGGGGCGGGCAGGAACTGCCTAGCCCGGAAGAGGGGCAGCGGCTACAAACAACGACGGCCCGGCCCGACCCCCAGTTTCAAACCTGCTTCGGCACCGACAACCACCACCTTCCGTTTGGGATGCCGCCCCGCCCTCTCGGAACGGAAGCCACGCGACCCCCGCAGCAACGCTGGCCGTTGGCTGCCTGACACGTCCTTTGGAAGCTATTCCTTCTTTTCATTGGTTATTGCGGCCGTAGTGTTCGAAATCTCCTCACTATTGGCGTAAATGTTTGTCATTCCGGCTACTCGATTGGCCCAATTCCTGCAGGCAGGCGCTTTCGCTGCCGCAAAGGTCATTGGCTGACCAAGCCATCAGTCAAACAGGTGACGGCGCAGTGCGGGCGAATGAGGGTGTGTGTGGCCTGTAGGCGAGCTTGGAAAGCTGAGGGCCTTCAAGTTCTAGGCCAAGTCTCTGAGAGTGAAAACTCTTGTGTGACCTGCCCTTTCTTCCCCTCTGCTGCTGCTATTCTAAGTGGCCTCTTAAGACTGTCGAGTAAAATAAAAATTCTGTCTTAAGGGAGGACCTACAGCTTTTTCGTCACACTGAGCCCCGAAGCCCGGCAGCCTGGCATGGGCCAAATGGAAACCACCTTCGCTCCTCACTTGTCCTAAGGACGTTTAACACGGAAAGCTATTATCCCGGGACCCCAAAAATAGGCCCAGACACGCAGATGTGTAGAGCTAGGCCAGTTTGAAACGGGCCTTCTCGCGCTGTCCTGCAGAATCCAGAAATGCTCTCAGGTTCTAAGGCTGGTTTTCAGTGGGCAGTGACGGGTCCAGCTTGGCTCTAAGTTTTTGTCAGTTCCTGTCCTGTCCCTTCCCCTACGTGGGTCCCACGGCAAATGCTAATCCAGCTCTAAATGTCTCTGTGCTATGATTTTGAAATGGAAAAGTCTGAAGCTGGGTAACATCGTTATAAATTTAAATGGTTTTCAATATAATGGAAGGTTTGTACTGAATTGTTAAGACGATTTCATCAGGTATACTTCTAAATGATAAGTGTCATTTTAACGGACTATTCAGAAAGAGTCAAAAGAAGAGGGACAATGCTGTATATAACGATCCTCTTCAAGTTTTCTCTTTTTAAAAAACAGTGAGCGCGGGGGTGGGGGGGTGGGGGTGGGGAGTTGTGGCTCAGCGGTAGAGCGCTCGCCTAGCACATGCGAGGCCCTAGGTTCGATCCTCAGCACCACATATAAATAAGTAAAATAAAGATATTTTGTCCAAATACAACTAAAAAATAAATATTAAAAAAAAAAATACAGTGGGCGCAGTGGCACACGCCTATAATCTGTGACTGGGGAAGCTGAGGCAGGTGAACCTCAAGTTCAAAGCCAGCCTCAGCAATTTAGGGAGACATTCAGCAACTTAGATCTTGTCTCCATATAAATGAATAAAAAATCTAAGAAGGACAACCCAGTGAGGTCCTGTCTCAAAAGTAACAAGGGCTTCTGATGTAGCTCAGTGGCAGAGTGCTTGCCTGCCATATGTGAGGCCATGGATTCAATTCCTAGTACTGCAAAGAAAGAAAAAATGAGTATCAAACTGCTGCTAGACCTTGTCTTATCATAATAAAAAAAAATACTATTCATTCACAGACATAGGAGTCTTTTTTTCCTTTTCTTTTCTTTTTTCTTTTTTTTTGTATGGGAGATTGATCCCAGGGGCACTTTGTCACTATGCTACATCTCCAGTTCTTTTTTTTTTTTTGGAGAGAGAGAGAATTTTTTTAAAATATTTATTTTTCAGTTTTCAGTGGACACAACATCTTTATTTTTATTTTATGTGGTGCTGAGGATCGAACCCAGCGCTTCGTGCATGCCAGGCGAGCGCATTACCGCTTGAGCCACATCCCCAGCCCCATCCCCAGTTCTTTTTATTGTTTATTTTGGGACAAAATCTTGCTAAATTGCTTAGAGCCTTGCTACCTTGCTGAGGCTGGCCTCAAACTTGCAATCCTCCTGCCTCAGCCTCCTGAGTTGCAGGGATTACAGGCATGTGCTCACTCAGCCATAGAAGTCAATTTGGAGTAAAAATTCCCTATTTTAAAAGATGTAGTCCCAATAAAATTTCATATCTTATGAAAAATTGAATATATATATATATATATATATATATATATATATATATCGTTTTGAACTGTACCAATAAGTGTAACTCTTAAAGCCTTATTAAAGTCATAAAAAATAATTTTAAAATTTCAATTTATAGGCCTATTTTGCAAACATGATAGGGTGATAAATAATAGACTTTGAAGAATAAAAATATGGGCCGGGTTTGTGGCTCAATGGTAGAGCACTCGCTTAGCCCACATAAAATAAATAAATAAATATATAAATAAATAAAAGTATTGTGTCCATCTACAGTAAAAATATTTTTTTAAATACATGTAGGGTATGAAGATGTGAATTTGGTGTCAACATACCTTATATACAATCAGAGATATGATAAATTGTGGTATAAAGAATTGTAATGCAAAAAAATAAAATAAAATAAAATAAACAGAGCTCCTGGAGAAAAAAAAAAGAAGAAGAAGATGCATTGAGAGCATTCTGAATTAAAGAACTAGGGAGACACCAAAAAAAAAAAAAAAAAGAGAGAGAGAGAGAGAGACATGAATGATGTATATCTTTCCATTTCTTTACATAATCTTTAAATCTCTTAGCAACATTTTGTAAATGCCAGTGTACATTTCTTTCACATTATTTTTCAGATATATTTTTAAGTAGTGCATATGTTAGAACATATTTTAGATGGTATTTTTTTCTAATTTTCAATGTACAGTCGTTCACTACCAGTATATAGATATACAATTGATATATAATTGATGTTTCTTTATTGGTACTTTATACAGCAAACTTGCTATGTTATTAATAGTTCTGGTAGCTTTTGCAAAGGTTTTACTAATTTTTTTTGCATAGGCAATCATGTCAATTAACAATAAAACTTATTTTGATTCTTCAAAAAAAATTTAAAAATAATAAAAAATTTCATACCTGGGGGATGAAATTAAGAGAAAAATGATGTTAAAAAAATTTTTTTAAAGGTTATTCTTGTGTTGTGTGTGTGGTGTTGGTGATTGAACCTAGGGCCTCAGGCAAGCTAGGCAAGCACTGAGCTATATTCCCAGCCCCACTTTGTATTTTTAAAATGGATGATGGGGTGGTTCTAAAATCACTATGCTATTTGGACAGAAGTGGATTGATATAAATGGGGGATTAATACATTGTATACAAATATTTATAACACAATGGACATTATATCCTTTGCAGCTACTTAAATTTAATCAATGACTTGTTTCAGGTATCAACAATGTGGGAGGGGGGAATACACATTTTCAAAAATTTTTAGGTAGTACTGGAGCAAAAAGAACTGAGGGCCAGTGTTCTGAGTGACCAGGTACTTTGGGGACAATAGCCCTTTTCACTGACAAACCGGGTGCAAATGCTCTCAAGTCAGACCATCTGGGTTGAAATTATGTTCTCCTTTTCCTATTGTGTTAGGCATGATTCTTTCTTCTTTTTTAAATTGAAGTATAATTTATACAAAGAAGTCCATTTGTTTTCACAACATGAACACTCACATTACTGGTGTCAGATCAGAATAATTCCATCGTCCCAGAAGATCCCCTCATGCTAAGTTTCTTAGTCTTTCTTCTACTTATCCTATATCTCTAACTTGGTGATAATAATGCTGACTCCTTGGGGTTGTTTTGAGGATAGATGAACTAATACCTGCATTGCAGTCAGGGTGGTACCTGGCACAGGATGAGTGCTATGCAGTTGTTAATTTGTCAAAATTCCTTGGGGTCATCAGGCCAGCACCTCTGTTTCCTTTTACCCAAGTCTGTGCCCAGCAAAGCCGTCTTCAGGTCTGCAACATGCTGAATGCAGTGGAGGGTGAGCCCCTACCCAGCTCCTTGTGAGAAGAACTTGGAATAGGCCACAGCACAGTCAAGGACCTAATGACCCTTAGATAAGTTACACACAAGGCCCAACATGAAATGTGCAGACTTTATTAGCTGTGTGATACTCAACTGCCTTCAGGGAACTCACATGTTGTCATGGAACTATCAGGGGCGGAGGGGCAGAGGGCTGGAGCTCTGCCCTACCATGTTCACACAGAGGGCACCTCTACCTCCAGTCCAGTTGGAGGCTTTCCGGAAGAGGTCTGACAACCTCAGGCCTTACTGCTGAACCTTGGAGTGGTGAATGGTTTTGAGCTGAGAGGTGATCATCCAGCCCAAAGCAAGACTCTGAAGGAGGATCAGAAACTTCGTTCTTCACTGATCCCTTGTGGTCCTATAATTTTCATCCACACTTAAGTTCCCCCACCCTCCACCAGGTGAGCTTGTCCGCACAGTATCCCAGAGGAAGGCTGGGCAAAGCCTCTGCATCACCTAGGCTCACCTGGGTAAGTAGTTCGCAATTAGACTCTAAGAGAATGGTTTTCAGAGACCCATCTTGGGATCTGTCTGCCTCCTTCAAGTTTCTTAATTTTCACCTCACCTGCCTTCCATCCCCATGTGGTGTCTTTCATCTTGTGTTTCAGCAGCCCTAACTTCTTGTAAATCCAGGATCTGAGCCATATCTCTGAAACTCCAGCTGCTTGGGGATGGAGCCAAGGTGTTCAGGGAGGGAGGGGAAGCGAGAACTACAGATGAGTCCCTGTACTTCCAGGGGACAAAGAGGAGAGACCAGGGGTGGCAGGAGCCCCTCAGGCTGCTCCTGCCCTGAGGTTGGCATCAGAGTTTTGTCCATTTCCACAGCCAGGTGAGGCATCCTGGAGGAGGAATTCCTGTGCTCCGGTGTACATTTGTCTAAGTCACCATAGCCTAGCATCTGGGAGGGGCAAGAAAGAGGAGGCACTCCAGGAGCCCCTAGACCAGGCTGGGAGTTAATCCACCCAGGGATGGGAACTGGCAAGAGCTTTACCTACTCCTCCCACACCCCAGGATTCTGTCGTCCTTGCCCCAGATATAGGGTCTGTGGTCACAATCGAGGCTCTGCCACCACCCTGTCTAGGCTACCCTGCTATCATGACTAAAAATTGTAAAGGAAGACAGGTCCTTGGTCATTACCCAACCCTGGAAGAACATCCAGAGTCCTTGCTTTTTTACTTTGAAGTTAAAAGCCACAGCAGTTGTGGAACACTGGAGGCACTGGGCCCATGGGGTGGGGAAGGCATGCACCTGCCCCCAGGGAAGTCCCTGGGGATGACCTCACCACTCACCTGTGCAGGGGGCAGATGGCATTGCGGCAGCCCAGGACCTGGACTTGGAGTCACTGAGGGTGCAGGAAACAAGGCCAGGTCATTGGAAGCAGGGGTTTCCAGGATATAGCTGCTGTGGCTCTGGGGCATGGACTGCTGAAGCAGCTGTAGGATGTGATTGAGGTCTGAGGACAAGCGGGATTCCAGCCTGCCAGACAGAGCCCCGAGGTCAAAGTCAGGGTTTTAAGAGCAGTTCAGGTCCTGAGGGCATCTCTGGATTCTGTAGCCTGTGTGCTTCTCCTCCTGAGTGAAAAGGCAACCCTGGGTCCTACCTGCAGCTACTTCCCCATTTGGATCCACAGACTCTGCCCAAGTTCCCTTAGTTCATCCCTAATGATACCAGTGACCAGGCACAGAGCACATTCAGTCCTACTAATGATGTTTTGACATGGGTATTCCAATCATGCCCATTACATGAAAGGGAAAACTGGGGCTCAGAGGTGTTTAATAACTTGCCCATCCATACTCTTGCTCCTGTATTACCAAGTTAAAATTTGAACCCAGGACTATCTTGCCATTATAGCCTTGCATCTGAAGCCACGTCCCTTTTCCAAGGCCTCATGGAATTTGTTTCTGCACATGGTTGTGTCCCTTCCTTAAGAAGCTTCCCTGGCATATTCCAGGTTTTGCTGGAGGAAGCCATGCAAGGAATTGTGTGCTTAGTGACAGGGACAGGGAAACTGCCTCTAAATGAGCCCCCCATTCTAAAACCCACCCAGCACACAGCAATACCCCAGAACCACCAGGAGAGGGCACCCACTCCTAGTCCTGTGCTGGTCAGATTCTTTGCAGCTCCCCAGCCTTGCAAAGGGCACTGACCTGTTCATCTGGGCCTGCAGCTGCTCTAGCCTGGAGCCCAACTCCTGAGGCCAGCAGTCTGGTCTCCGCTGCAGACTTGGAGGACTATTCCTTGGGGGAATCTGCTGCATCAATTCAGGCCAGAGGCCAGAAGCATCTGAGATGCTCAGGGCAGGGGCTGCATCTGCAGGAGGAAAAGGAACACCTCTGCTCTATGTAGCTGGTTCCATAGGTCTGTCTCTCCTTGGCAGACCCCATGCTCTTCCCATACCTGTCATGGAAACACAGGGTGGGGAGTGGCTCTCCTTACCTGGGTGCCTTGGGGCATAAGGTCCTACCCATATGAAAGTCTGGTTTTCAGGACTCAGGGGACTGTAGCCCTGGGAAGGAATCTGGGGCTGCCAAGGTGGGAATTTCTAGACTTGGTCTCATTGCCCTTGGAGCTCAGTCAAGGGGGTCCCCTAGAACCTTGGTGTGGAACCCAAGGGTTCTTGGTCATTACCCACCCCTGGAAGAGCACCCAGCGACCAGAGAGCCCTTGTTCTTAGGCTCTGAGGGTGTAGATCATCAAGGTGGGGACACAAGGGGAAAATTGGGACAAAAGCCACTATTCCTGATCCTAGGGAGGTCCCCACTCACCGAGGTGCTGAGGAGGCCTTTCCCCAGGGGATAAAAGGCCATGAGAATGGAAAGGAAACTGGGGTGGGGGGCTCCAGGAATGGGCTGGCTGTGCTCACCTGGCTGCTTGTCATTGAGGAAAAAGCCTTGGTGGTCTTGGCTGCCCGGACCCTGTTGGGGTGATGACTGGAAACCCCCATCTGCCTTGTAGGGAACAAGAGCATCAAGTAACAGGGACCAAAGCTGGGATGGGCCTCTTTGTTTCTCCCTGTCCCTGCTCCTCCTCTGTAGCCCTTGTCACAGCCAGGTGAGAAAGTGGTGTCAGGTGGCTGGCACACCAGAAAAGCTCTGGGCAGCTTCTTGCAGGCTCTCCTGTGTGTGTGTGTGTGTGTGTGTGTGTGTGTGTGTGTGTGTGGTGAAGGGCAGGTCGGGGGAGGTCTTGGGATTTGGGAGTGGAGGCAAAAAAGCTCCTCCAGTCCCCCTTTCCCAAATGCCCTGTGCTCCCTCCCTCAGCATGAACCAGTGGAGAGTTCTCTCTAGGCGACCAGGTTGGAACCCCCAATCAACTCCAGATCAGCATCTTTGACTGCTTTCCTCTTGGCACCATGAGACTTGGGGGCACCTTGGGGTTACAGATGACCCAGGACACAGAGACCACATCCCTCCATCATCAGCAAGAAAACCCACCTTAATGTCACCCTCCATAACCTGGGTAAAGGGCCTGGGCCACCAGAGCCTTCTCCTAAGGCTGAGGGTTTGGTGGATGACAGGGAAAAGGAGGTGCCCAGGCTCAGTGCCTAGCCTCAGCCACCGTGCCCCTGCAGCCTCACCATCCCTCCCCTCTCCACTAGCTGATTCCAAGCTCCCTTCCTCCATGACGCCTTTCTGGGCACTTCCAGACACTCTAGTGCCTCCACCACTCCTTGGCAAGCTGGAGTTCCACAGAAATTTGATCTGTCAAGTACACAAATCATGGCTTCTTTAGTTATTCATCCAGGTGTCTCTTTTATTTTTCCTGAGTTGCTACAAACTACCTTTTCCACTGAATGATAAACTTGAGAGGAAGGACAGCTTTACCAATTCTTCACACCCCCATGCCTGGCACCATGAGCCCTCTGGATAGCAGACCCCTCCTGCTCAGCCTGGTGATAGGAAAGCCTGGGCTTTGGAGTCAGACAAACTTTGGTTGTTTTTTTTTTTTTTCAAACTTTGAATTCACATTTTGGTTCTGCCATTTACTAGCTGTATGGCTTTGGCCAATTTATTTATCTTCTCTAACCTTCAGTTTCCTCATCTGAAAATGGGGATTAAAAATAATATCACATGCAAGGATGGAACTAAGTATGATAATGTAAAAGAAGCCCAGCGTTTCCCACCCAGTCACTGCTCAATAAATGGCAGCTATCACTGGTCATGGCAGGCACAAAGATATTTTGGAAAAGGATGCGGGATGGGACTGGAAGGAAAGGCAGTAGTTGGATGGGTCCCTGAAGCCAGGCAGGCCATGCCCTCAGGTGTGGATATTACCTATTACCAGTTGGCCAAGAGCTGCCACCCACCCTGGCCCACTGGCCCAGACTCACGTCCCGCAGGTTGAAGGTGACCTCCAGCTTACTCCAGAAGCTGTCCGCAAAGGCAGGGTACATGTCCAGCACCTCCAGCAGGTCTGTCCGCTGGATCTTGTGTAAGTCGCAGTAGGTCAGGGCCCGCACATCTGCACTGGACTTGCCTGGTCGGGCGTGGAGGCTGATGGGCTCCCCAAAGATATCGTTCTTCCCTGCCAGTCAGAGGGGTGGTATTCCTTCCAGGGCCTGGTTTCCCCGTGACCATGACCTGCCCCCACCATCACCTCATGGATCCTGCCAGGATGGGGTCTGGTGCTTAGGATCAAGATCTGGGGACAGGGCTAGATGTGTTGGCTGTCTGGGGAGAGGAGGATGGACAGGAGGGTATCCCCTGCCCCTGTCTTCTGAATCCTACAAAGATCCCTTAAGAGCTGCTCCTGCCCTAGGCATATGGGTACATTGATGTCTTCAGTCCCCTCAGAATAACTCTCCCTTCCTCAGACTCCCTGCTTTTGTTCATGCTCTTGACACTACCCTAACTCCTGCTTAGGAGACACTGGGCAGTAAGGGACATTAAAGCCTCCCTGCCCAACCTCCTCCTGCTCCCTGCAATCTGCCCGTCTTATGGAGCAAGGCACAGGGGACTCAGGCCAGGAGCTTCCTGCTCCCTCAAGGCTCCCCTAAGGCTTCTGTTCAAGTGTTTTCATTCCCCACTCTGAGGCCAGGGAATCAGCAAGGTCCTGGCAGGGGGAGCCTGGAGAAGTCATTTCCCCTCTCTGGACCCCACTGTCTTCATCTCTAAAATGGGCATCACCATCTCGGCATTGCCTACTTTACTGGGTTCAGAGAAACAGATGCTTGAGGAAGTGCCCCAAAAGGCCAGAAGCACTAGACAGGAAAATGCAAGGTGCTGGAGTTGGAGGTCACAGAGTGGGCATTTGGTGGATGCTGAGGGTTGGTGGCCAGGGTATTAGGCCCTTTGGGTGCCAGGCGCTATAAGAGCTATGGGATGTAAACATGAATAAGAGGCTCTCTCTCCCACAAGGAAGCCCCCAAATTCCCATAAGACAGGCACATAAACAGTCAATGATTTTACAGAATGATCTGTGGAGCCTTCAAATAGGGGAGAATCAAGAGCTATGTGGTCATGGAGGAGGGAGGGGTCTTCCACCAAGGATGGTTGGGGCAGTGGAGGGGTTACAGAGGAAGTGAAATTCCAAGAGAATCAAGGACTAAGCAGCCAGAAACAGCATGTTGTCACACTGCACAGAGAGGCCAGGGCCTCAGGTGCCATGGATCATTATTGCTTTCTCTCCAACCTCCCTGGGAAAGTCCAGCCCCCTCAGCCTAGTGACCCATGCACAAAGGGTGCTAACGGTTTAGCACAGGCAGAGGGATGAAGAGAGGCTGGGCATGTCCCTCCAAGAGAACAGGATCAAAGGTCACAGAGGAGGGAACTGAGGCCTAGAGAGGAAACGGGCTCACCAAGGATCACACATGAAACCCTGAAGCTTGAAATCTGGGCAGTGTGATGATGAGCTGGTTTTCTAGTAGATGAAGGATTATGATTTAATGTCTATTTCTACTCAGGACAAAATGAAAAATTTTATGCCTCTAACTGAAACTTAAATTGGACTAGCTTCTTAATTATTAAAAATAATTATCCCTCCAATGTGGGTGGCACTTGTAAGGTAGGCTGGGAGTGAGGGAAAGTTTCATAGAGGAGCTCACAATTGAGCCCATCCTTGAGGGATGACTGGGTTCTGCCAGACAGGCATGGGGTGGGCACTGCAAGCAGAGTGGCAACATATACAAAGGCACAGAGGTGTGACAGAGATGACAGATTCAGAGAATGGGAAGCCGTTTTATGGTTAGGGCATGAAGTACCAGGGAAGAGTGGCAAGACTGGAGTAATCAGATTGGGTGGAACTATGCATGTCATGCACAGAGGTTTACATTTATCCCACGAGCCGTGCGGAACCACTGAAGGATGAGAAGAAGAGGAGTATATGCAGATGTGTCATTGGTGGAAGGAGGAAGAGAGAGAATGGGGGTAGGCCAGACACAAGGCCACAGGGCAGGAGCTCCTGACACACCTGCCTGGGAATGACATGAGGTCAGACCCAAGCAGGAGACAGGTATGGGAGAGGTCCCAAAAGCAGAACAGAGAAGGCTCTGTGACTAACTGGAAGATAGGCAGGGGGACTGGAAAGAGGGCAGGATGCTTGCCTACTTGACTGTACCCTGGGCAATGGGTGGAGGGTTCACATTGATAGGGAAACCATGTTGAAGGAGCTGCTCTTGGGGGAACAAGATGGTTTCAGGTGGGGATATATAGAGTTTGGTCTTCTTATCTGAATATTATGGAGGTCATGCCCAGGAAGGAATGGAATATTATAGGGCAAGGAGAGATTGGGACTGGGATAGAGCTATGGGAGTCCTTGTGACACAGGTCTAAGCTGTGGCTTAAACAGCAAGGAGCTGGCCCAGGTGAGAGTGTAGGGTGAGGAGAAGAAAACAGAATATCAGTGCTTGGTGGCAACAAATGATGGCAGGCTGGAGGAGAGGACTGTGCAGAGGAGCCCTGGGGATGGGGTGGAGGAGGCTGGTCCAGAGGGGTTGGAAGAAAGCCAGGCCATAGAGACAAAAGAGGACCAAACTGGAGTTGGAGTTGGAGACTTAGAGTGAAATCCATAGGGAAGGCATGAAAAGTGGGCATCAAGAGAGGAAACTGTGATGCTCAGAGAGGTAAAATGACTTACCCCAGTTCCCACAGCAGGTAAGTGGCAGAGGCTACTTGAAACCTATGTCTGTCCCCCTTCCCAGTGTTCATAAGGCTCCTCCAAAGTATCCAGCTATTTCTGCAGGGCACTGAATGAAACTGTGGTGCCCATCAAGTCACCTCCCTCCAAACAAGACTGACCCCTGGAACTCAAGAGTGTAAGGTAGGAGGGAACCTGCCTGGACTTCTGAGTCAGACCAAGTCCTAGAATCCCTGTGTGACCAATGACTAGCATGACCTCTCTGAGCCTCAACTTCTCTATCAAGAAAAATGGGGCAAATGGCAGGGGGATTGCGTTAAGGATCCTGGGAGCTGGGTATAAAGCTTTCTAGAAGCATGCTGGGCGCATAGCTGATCAATAAAAGGTGCCACGTTCCTCATTAAGAAGATGATGGCCTAAGTAGGGCATCTCCAGTTTCCACCCTCCTCACAGGCCTAGTCCATTCTGCCTGGCTCACCTAGAATGGCCACCACCATGTCGTCACGCAGGATCTCGATAGAGCCGCGAGAGATGAAGTAGAGTGTGGAAAGCACGTCGCCGAGGTGCACCAGAGTGTCCCCGGGAGGCGCATGCGCGGTCTTGAACTTGACAGCGAGGGCGCGCAGGCAGCCTTTGCTGGCGCCGCGGAAGGCGGGGCAGTGCTGCAGCAGCGCGCGGTGCAGGTGCAGGCAGATGTCGGCCTGCAGGCACTCGGGGAAGCCTTTCAGTACCTGTGGGGTGGGCGGGCGACTCCAGTGGGGCGCGGGTGGGGCTGGGGGACGGGTGGGCAGAGCTCCGGGGAACCATGGGTCCGCGGGACCTTGACCTGCCCTGGGGCAATAGCCAGAACTGATGGCCCGCCCCGCCTCTCCAGGGCGCGGGGCTCACCGCGTTCATGTCGATGCCGTTGGTGTAGGACCAGGCGTGCTGGAAGTACTCTTCAAGGCGCTGCCGCAGAGGGTTGGGGATCTGGTGGAAGCGGATGAATTCCTTGACGCGCAACATCTGCGTATGGTAGCGCGCGGTGCCCGAGTACAGGCGCTGGATGATCGCCGACACGTTGCCAAAAATGCTGGCATACATGAGAGCTGAGGGCGGGGGCCGGGCCAGGGTACGGAGTGAGCGTGGTCACTGGACCACGCCACCCCAGGCCTCCCTCTCCCCGGCAGCCCTATAGGGGACAGGGCTGGACAAAGCCAAGTCAGAAGAGCCTGAGCCAACGCCTGAGAACAGAGGGAACGAAGACTGCGGTGCTTCCTGCCCTCTGCCCTCTGCTCTTCCCAGGCCGAGGCCAAACTCCTTTGAAGAAAGAACTAGGGCAATGATTTTTTTTTTTTTTAAGTTCAGATTTGTTTTCTCCTTCAAGGTGTAAACATAATGAAGGGAAAACTCTTGGTCTCTTGTTTTCACTTTTTTTTTTTTCTTCTTGTTTTTGTTTTTCTGGGCTTTCACGTCTCTAAATACTCTGAACATGACAACTTAATCTATGTGTAAAATTCCACAGTGCGTCTCAAGTTCCTAAACCACGTGTTTTGGGAGGAAGGTAGCTGGGTGCAAGAACAGAGAGCAACACAGCCTTGGAGCCCACCACCTGGGCCTCACTGGGGCTCAGCGACTTCCTGGTTCTATGCCTCCTGGCAAATTAAGACCATTGGTTCCTGCTCTGTAAACTGGGCTCACAAGGAATGAAGTATGGGCTTCTGTAAAGCACTTAAAGGAGAGGTTGGGGGGCTGGGGATGTGGCTCAAGCGGTAGCGCGCTTGCCTGGCATGCGTGCGGCCTGGGTTCGATCCTCAGCACTACATACAAAACGAAGATGTTGTGTCCGCCGAAAACTAAAAAATAAATATTAAAATTCTCAAAAAAAAAAAAAAAGAGGTTGGCAGGGGCTTGCTTCATGGGAATGAAGCTCACCAATCCCACAGGGCCTAGCCAGCATGGCAGGTTTACTGCTATGCTGACATCATCTCAAAATTCTTAACAACTTTTTAACTTAGAAGTTTTCGTTTTGCACTGAGGCCTGCAAATGATAATCCTGGTGCCTGCCTATGGCAATGGCTGTGCAGGTGTATAACTGGTGTATACATATGCAAAAATTCATATGCTGCACACTCAGAATCAGTGTATAGCATGCATTATTACTATTACTACATATTACTGTAATGTTGTGTCTCTTTCAAAACCAAGAACAGAATTTCACGGGAAAGACCCATAGCGCAAAGACGCACTCACAGCCGATGAGCATGACGCAGATAGAGAAGACCTTCTCAGAGTTGGTGTTGGGTGAGACATTGCCGAAGCCCACACTGGTGAGGCTGCTGAAGGTGAAGTAGAGGGCCGTGACATACTTGTCCTGCACTGAGGGGCCTGAAGCTGGGTCGCTGCCATTATAGTGCTTGCCAAGCTGAGCACCCAGGCTGTCCAGCCAGCCGATCTTGGGCTCCAGGTAGGGTCGCTCCACATTGCCGATGGCATACCAGATGCAGGCCAGCCAGTGCGCGATGAGTGCAAAGGTGCACATGAGCAGGAAGAGCACAGCCGCCCCATACTCCGAGTAGCGGTCCAGCTTCCGTGCTACACGCACCAGCCGCAGAAGCCGTGCTGTCTTCAGTAGCCCAATCAGGGTCGTGGTCTGGAGGGCAGAGAAAGGTCCACAAGGCTGGGAGGTTAGCACTTGAAAGGACACACTCTGGCCTGCTCTAGATCAGGCACTTGGCAATGGAATCTAGCATGGGACCTTAAGGAGCTCTCAGCCTGGGGCACAAAACAGTGTTCTGGTTGCTAGGAGAGAAATCAAATGGGAGCAAGGAGGAAGGGGAGGTCAAATCTGCAGGGCAGGTCAGGGGAGGCTTCATAGAGGAGGTAACACAAGAGCGAGTTTTGAGAGACAGGGCTGGGTCTTCAGGGAGACAGGAGGGAGAAGGAAAGGTCACTCCTGGCATAGGGGGCAACACAGGCAGAGACATGGAGGTGTGAAGTGGCACAGCCCACGTGGGAAACCAAGAATGGTGTGACAGCCTGGAGTGCAGAGTGAGAGATGGCGGGTCAGTGAGAGAGGAGCCTGGGAAGATAAGCAGGGCTGCTCCTGTGGACCTCAGGGTCCACAAAGAACTTGCCTTCTATTCTGTAGGTTTTGGGAGCCATTGATGGTTTGAGGGAAGTGACAGGTCAGGTAAGTAATCTGGACCTTCTTTTCGCTACGGTGTGGAGGGGAGGGAGGTTGGGGAAGAAGGCCACTCAATGTAAGTAGGGGCATTGGGGTGGAGAGGAGGGGAGAGGACTTGGGGATGATTTGCTGGGGGCAGGGTAGGACAGTGCTGGGGTGGTTGCCAGGGAGGGATGGGGGTGACTGGAACCCAGAAGGTAGAGTGGATTTGAGGGGAAAGTTGATCTTGAGAAGATGGGGCGGGAGGACCAAGTGGGACTTGAAGCTATGAGAGCGTGAAAATGCTCTCATGTCGCCCATGGGAAGAAGAGTAGGCACAGATGAGGGGCTGGGGGCCAGGACCCGGTGAGGCTGCATTGGGGGTGTGGCCTATAGCTTCCCTTTCTGACTAGGGAGGGTGTGGGTTAGAAAGCAGTGGGAGGCTGGGACTATAGGAGACCATTCCTGGTCCCAGAGGGCAGAATGCTGGAGCAGGGAAGGAGATGCTGGCAGACGTCCAAGCCCTCTTTCTATTGCCCCTTGTTTTGGCAAAGATGCCCAGTGCCAGGAGCTCTCTGCACCCAGGTCTCTGAGTCTGGGAGGCTCTGGGGCTGGGGTATAGGGAACAGCCATGGCTGCTGGCCTGGATGGGGTTTGCTCACCTCATCAGAGCCAGTGCGGAAAATGAGCAGGTCAAAGGGGATGGCAGCCACCATGTCAATGAGGAACCAGCCCTTGAAGTAATGGACGGCGATGCGTCGGGGGTGGCTGACCACCTCGTCATTGGTGTTGACATAGGTGGTACGGAAGTTGATGATAATGTCCACGACAAACATGATGTCCACTATGAGGTCCACCATGGTGAGTGGACTGCAGGTGTAGCCGCAGGCACCGCGCTGTGACTCATCTTGGTCGCTGAGCAGGAAGGCGGCTGAGTAAGGTGTGAAGACGGCCGTGTAGATGACCAGCAGCAGGATGAGCCAGTCCCACACGGCCTTGAAGGGGCTGTAGTGCAGGATGGTCCCGCGGTGGACACGTGGCGCCTGCAGCTTGTACTCTGGCAGCACATCTGCACCCAGAGACAGGACCTGGGGGTGGGGATCATGGATGGTCAGTGGGGGCAGCACTGTTGGTGAGACAGATCTTGTGGGGAGGCCTAGGAAGGAGGCATGGGAGGGGTATGGGTGACAAGCATATGAGGAGGCAAGTTCTTTAAGGAGACAGATGTGTCAGGAAGAAGTGCAGATAGAAGAGGTGGGTCGCAGAAGGTGGGGGGCAGCTGTCTCATGGCGACCCAGCTTTGAAGCTCACAAACTCCCTCAGAAAGAGATCATCCAGGAGTAGGTGGGGACAGGACCAGGATCTTCTGGGCATGTTCCAGAGAAGAGTCTAGCCTGAGGGGATAGTTTGGTGGGCCACTCCTCTCTGGTAGGCTTGGAAGGATTCTATGTTTGGGATTTCTAGAGGGAGCAGGTCACCCCCAGAATAGACTTTTCAGTCTTGAGGATCCTGGACCCTCCCTGGAACCAACTCTCAGTGGCTACCACAGAAAAAAGCCAAATTTGGGGTGGGGTAGCCAATCTGGACCCTCAACAGATCCTGGGTTCCAGGGATCCCCAGCTGCTTCACACATATCCAGCAGAATGATCACAACACTCAGCAGAAAAGCATTCCCTTTTGTCTGACCTACCCCTGACTCCAACACCGTGAGCAACAGAGAGTCACTTAGGTCTGGGCCCAAGATGCCAGGCTGCCCCAAATGACATAGCTGGGGCATTAGGAAGGGCATGGGTTTTAACGTCAGAACTCCAAGGTTGAATTCCAGGTCTGACAATTTCTATATCTGTGCCATAAGGCAAGTTTTTGAACTTTGGTGGCTCAGTATCCCCATCTGTAAAATGGGATAAACACAACTGCCCAGATGATTAAATAAGATGCATCTGTTTGCATGTGGATGGTATACTCCACTTAGCAGTCATTCCCCCTCCACTCTCCTGCTCCCTCATCCTATCCAAGACAGTTCTCCAACAAGGATGGATCCTTGGGGGGGGGGGGTCCCCTTCATTCCCCTCCCCAACCAGTTGGGTTTCTGGTAGATGGTTCTGGTTTAAGAAAATCTGCAATGTTAGGTTTTAACCTTGCAGATCAGATCAGTTAGCAGATAGGACCACAAGAAAGAAGACCCAGCAAAGGGCTAGTTTCCACCAGAAGGTTCCTGATCTAACATACAAACCCTGCAGTGGGGGTCACAGCCTCCCTGTTCTGTAGTGGCCTCCTGCCCAGTCTTCAGGCCTTGCTCGTATTTCACTTTCCCAGGGAGCCCTCTCTGACCCCAAATAGACTTGGACCCTCTTTACATTTTCCTGCCCCTGTATGCAGCCTTGACCACGTGGTCACCGTCCACTGAAGTATAAGCTGGGCCAGCCTGCTTTCCCTCGCCCAGCCTGTTTATCCCTGGGTCCCAGCATGTGGTCCACATGGGATCTCAACTACAAATGAGCACTGGCAGCTCAGACTCTGACTGGGAGCTGCAGGCCACAGGGCATCAAAGCTGCTTCCCTCTGTAGGCCCTTCCCCAGTCCTGCCTCAGTAGGGAATGAGAGGAAGGCAGCCGGAACTGGGAGTGGGACCCAAGTCTGCAGAGAGGAAAATGTCAGGTCTCTCAGCTCCTTAGGGCTGCAGACATGGGAGCCACTGACCCCTCTCGTCTCCCACTGTCTCTGAAGTCAGTGTGAGGGCCCTTCCAGGGCAAAGCCCGCCCAGCTCAGGATCCTTTGGATCTCCATGGCCCTCAGGATATAAGGACACTGGCATGAGATTGCGGCCCTGTAGTCTGGGTTCTGGTTGAGGTCAATGTGACTTCCCTGTTCTGGACTTTGTCAGCCCCCTCCTCTGAAGTCTGTCAAGCACCTCTCATGGCCTTAAAGTGCACATGGGGTTAGGGGGCTAGTGAAGCCAAGAGGGGCAGGGGCAGGAAGCAAGACAGGAGCAGATGCCATGGGCCTTAGCTGGGTCTATCCATCTTCACAGACAACTTTTCAATATGACAGTCCCCCATCAGGACAGCCACCACCAGCAGCATCAACCTAAGAGGCCCTGGTATGAGCAGCTAGGGAGCTTCCCAGGGTCAGGTCATTGGGCCACTCTATCTGATCTCAGAGGTCCCAGTCCTCCAGTCTGGACTCCCTCCTTCCTCAGGGTCCCTGAGCTCTGTGAGGGTCTGAGGGGTCTCCTTCATACTCAGTTCCAATACTGCCTGCACATTAAATGAAAAGGGGAATCTTCTCCTTCATGGAAACAGCCCCAGGGAAGCTCTGCACCCCCCTGTTCAGCCTTGTCTTAGGCCCCTCTATATGGCTGACAGCTTTTTCTGCTTCCTGGACTGCCACTAGTTAATGCCAAATGGATCCTCAGAGGCCATTTAGAACCCCAAGGCTCAGAAGGCAGGTGTGTCCCATGGGCAAGGTCACACAGTGAGTCAGTGCCAGGACCCTAGTCACTGAAGCCTCAAACAAAATTATTTGCATTTCCCTCAAGAAAGGTCAGGTCATCAAGCATATGAGAAAGGGCAGTGGGGCCAGCTGAAACAGAGGACCAGGGGACATTTGTCTTGGGTGGGCAAGGAGTGGATCCAATAGAAGGGGAATGTTCAGGAATGGGCCCTTGGGAGTCGCTCAAAGTTAGCAGGAGGTGTGGGTCCCACCCCACCTCTATGTGGTATGCAGGTTGAGAGGGAAAGTGACTCTCATCTCAAAGGCAAGGGATAGAAACAGGGCTGGGGTCTCCTGCCATCTCTCCTTCCTCTTCTCTATATTTCCCTGATATATCCCCTCTCCACCTTGCCTTTCCTGTGATTGACAGAGCCTTGGACAGCCCCACCAGTAGCCTGTGTCTCCCCAATCCCCAGCGTCTCCAGGCTTTGAGGGTGGCACTCTCATAGGTCCTGCTGGCCCCAACCTCCCCTGGCTCCAGGAGCTGTGGCCTTAGGGAAGGCCTTCAGGTTGAAAAAATCAAACTGCAATTGGGAGGCCTGGGGTTTAGACCAGACATGAGGGAGCAAGACAAGCCACATCTCTCTGCTAACCAAGGGCCCAAAAGAGCAGGCCCAGGATCTGGGAGGGGACCCTGGAGGCCTGGCACAGTCCTGCCCTCCCTACCCAGCAGGCCCGCACCTGGGTGACCTTCTCAGTGACGTTCTGCGTTCGTTCCACCACCTTGTGGGGAGCGATGATCTCAATCTCCGTGGTGGAGCCCGAGCGGTGCTTCTCCAGGTTGAACTCCACAAAGTTGAGCGTGAACTGCGGGATCTGGCTGACGGTCCTGTACTTGCCTCTGCTGGAGCCAGGCCCCTGTCCACCCGATCTGCCATGGGATCCCCCTGAAACCAGGGTCAAGATCAGAGCAGCCAGGGCCAGGGCACCAGCTACTCCAACAGGTGACCCAACTCTCTCTTACTGCCGTCTGCAGCCTGCTCACTCACCAGAGCCCAGGAAGCTGTGGGACAGCAGGCGCTGGGTCAGGCTGCGGTTGCTGCTTTTGGCCAGGACCTGGGCCAGGTCCTCAAAGTTGAGGATGAACATGATGACGGCTCCATCCTCGTTCTTTACTGGCACCACATCCACCAGGCAGCGGAAGCTGGAGGCTGCAAACACCATTAGCAGGGACAGGAGGTGGTCACCAAAGGGGTTCCCTTCTGTAGTGACCCAGGTAAGGAGGGAGCAGAGTGAAGGTCAAATTAAGGGCACCCACTTGGAGAGAAAAGGCCTGGACAGTGATCAGAACTACTGGGCAGAAGGTGAGTTAGGCTGCTCAGCAGGTGCCCCACCCACAGGGCAGAGGTGGGGAGAGCAGCTAAGCTGCTCATTAGGAGATAATGTAGCATCAGGTCCAAGTCCACACACAGCCCTCAGCTCAGGGCTTAGCCTCGAGGTTTGCTTCTGCTGTAATTAAAGCAGAGCAGATGGGGGTGGATTAAACGGGGAGGTGAGGTGGGAGTGTTCCACCCCCATGTAGCTCTGGCTGGCCCTGGGCTCTGCTCATATCACCATCCCACAAAGATGCCCTCTTCCCTGATGCCGGAAGGAACTCATTGCTGGGAGCTCACTAAGTGCTGGGCATGGAGCCAGTTGGCACATTAGGCCTCAGGAGGTCCTCAGGGGGCAGGTATAGACCCCCGTTCTGCAGATGAGAGCCTGAGATTCTGAGAAACTGATTTACTAGGGTTGGGAGGGGACATAAACCTGGGACCTCTGGGCTATCAGCACACAACAGTTGAGAAAAGGGAAGGGGTTTATCTGATAGAAGGGTGCTGGGGTAGGGCCCCAAGGCAGAGGCTGGGATCAGGGAGCAGAAAGGGGAGTGGCTTGGGAGTCAGGGAGTGAGAAGGCCTCATGTAGGCAGGACAGGTCCCCTAGTGCCACTCTCTAACCCTTCTTGGCAGCCCAGACTCAGCTGTTATCCCCCTGCACCTCTGGCCAAAGTCTCTGTCCCCTTTCTTTGCTCCAGGGTCTCACCACTGCCCCACGTGGGCAAAACAATACCAGCTAAAATGCCACATACCCCAGAGCCCCGCCTGTGGGTAGGTATGCCACAGGGGTCTTATGTCCCTAAATTCAAACTCTTGACAGGTGCCAGATCCAAAGGCAGGATCCTCAGGGACAGGGGCCTTTGGGTGACCAAATCAGAAAGCAGAGCTGTGCTCCTGGAAGGCAGGCCTGGGTCTGTCTAAGGTGTTTGTTGCTTGCATAATGAAAGATATACTTGTCAACACAGGGGGACTGAGGCCAGCTGGCAAGAGTACTGCTACTTTAGGAACCACTGGAATCACTCTTCCCCAGACTCCCTATTTAGAGCTTACTCCCCTAGGCCCTCCTCACAGCCGTCGGAACTGGGGTGCAGCTAAGTCTGCCCATCCTCCTCCCACTTTCCTCTGGGGAGCAGGAATCTCCCAGATCAGATTCCTGGGCTCCCAGGCATCAGGCAGCCATCTGCCAGCTGCTGCCTGGGCCCAGGGGAGACATCCATACGGAGAAGAGGCAACCTTTCCGGCTTGACCCACTCCTGGGCTCACAGTGCTATAGTCGCTCTTGTTAGCCTGGGGCATAGTGAGCCTCCAACCCGTTGAGTCTAGACTATGTCCCCTGTTTCTTAGGCACAGGAGAGATCAGGGCTGGTTGTGGGGAGGGAAGGGGCCTTGTTGGGCAGAAGGGTGGGACCTCCAGGCTTTCTATGTTGCTGGGAGCTGTGGAGGCCGGTCTTCTAGTGACTGTACACACCCATCTGAGCTATCATTGGAAACCCATTCTAGGAACAGACCAACGACCCGCCCACCTCAGCAGTACAGGTTGGGGAGTGGTGAGGGTTGGTGCCCCTTGCCCTGCCTCCATGCTGGCTGTATTTGGAGTAGGCAGACAGGAGGCTAAGAGAATTAGAATACAGAGTATTCTCTCTCCCTGTGTCCCAGACTGGTTGCCCTTACTTATTTGTGGCTCAGAGCCCATGAGTAACCATCTGGGTGACCAGAAGTGGGAGAGAGGGTGTCCTTGCTTGGGGCTTCCTGAGGCTCCTTTCAGCACCCTCCCCCCTCTGAGGATAGTAAGTTTGGCCCCTGGGACTCTCCACTTCTCTTTGTACTTCTCTCCTCTCAGAATGTGCTTCTTCCCTAGTGTCTCATTGCTCAATCCCTACCCCCCACTCTGACCCTCACTCTCTCCTTTTCACAGCCTCCTTGTTATCTTTCACCCAACCCTCTCCCCTTTTCTTCCTCGTGCTGGGATGGAACCTAGGGCCTCACATGTGCTAGGCAAGGGCTTTACCACTGAGCAGCACCCCCAGCCCCACCCAATCTCTTTACACACACTCCACCTAGCATTGTGGTGATCCCTCAGGAGTGGTGCTACAAGAAGCTGCCACTACACCGGTGCAGTGGCACACACCTGTAATCCCAGTGACTCAGGAGGCTGAGGCAGGAGGATCACAGGTTCAAGGTCAGCCTCAGCAATTTATAGAGGCCCTAAGCAACTTAGAAAGACCTTGTCTCAAAATATAGGACTGGAAGTATAGCTCAGCGGTAAAATGCTCCTGGGCTCAATCCCCAGTACAAAAAAAAAGGAAGAAAAAGAAGCTGCCACTAGGAGGGAGCTGCACCATGTCACCCCAGCTTGGCCCTCCTGGTACCATGAGTGAGCATGCAGAAAACACAGGGAGGGTGGAGGCAGATAGTAGCCCCTGACCTCACCTTGTCCTGTCCTCCATATCTGGAGATGAAGACTGGAGAAGCCACAGGACTCCCCTAGTTTGGCTCAGGAATTAGTGGACTCTGGTTTGGGCTCATCAGTGTAGAGGACTTGGCAAAGGCAGGCAGGGCTGGGCCCTGTGGCTGGTGCCCAGAGGTGGGGGACTGAGTGCTCCCCTGCCTCACTCCAGGTGCTCTTCCACTCTAGTCCTGCAGCGTCTCTCTTCCTGTCTGTTATGTTTTTTCTTTCCCTAGCAAAGGCCTTGGTCTCTCAGGAGTCTCTCACTTTGATCTATATGGGTGATTTTTACCTAGTGTCCTGGCTTCTGAGCTGACTTTAGGCAGCTGTACCATGTGGAGATACATGAACACAGACCCTCCATTTCGACTTGGACAATTTTAAGTGGATTACCCTTTTAGAGGAAAAGAGGATTATAAATAAACCAGCTAGAGATCTACCCAGGACCCCTTCCCACCTCCCTGGAGTCAGGGGGTGGGGTAGAGAGGAAGTATTGACCTGAGAAGGGGAAAAAAATCATTATTAGGATGCTCCTCAGCAGAAATGTAGGATGTATATAAACATGATTTTTAAAAATGAATAATATGATAGCCAGGGATGGTAGCACATGCCTATAATCCTAGCTACTCAGGTGGCTGAGACAGGAAGATTAGAAATTCAAGGACAGTCTCAGCAACTTATTGAGACCCTATCTCAAAATAAAAAATGTAGCTCTGTGGTAGAGTGCCCCAGGTTCAAGCACCTGTACCGCACAAAGCAAGACAACAACAAAGAAACCATGACCATGTGGTCAGAGTGGACCGTAAGGTGAACACATAACTAATCTGAGTACTATATCCTTTCCTGAAGATAATACAGGCCAGTAAGCTCCATTTTGGGGGGTTTCAGGCCAATTTCGAGAAGATCTAAGTGATGAAAGTCTTGGGCAACAGAACAAGGAAGGACTGAGGGACAAGTAGGGATAGATGGGAACTTACTGAGCATCAGATATATGGGTGATGGCCCATTTTTACCCAGGGCCAAGCTCCAGGACTAAGTTTCCAGGATCCCTTCTTATAGCTGGAGGGCTCAGCTGGGTTCTGAAGACCTGAGTCCTGATCTCAGGGGCCAGGCATGGCCTTGACCTCTGCCCTCTGCCCAGGTACCTGCAGGGTGCTAAGAATTGGCATCTAACATCCCCAGAAGTCTGAGATCAACCCTCATGCCCTGGGGTACAGGTAGACAGGTAGAGCTCTGAGGTCAAGGAGAGGAAGACCTGTTACCCCTCCCCCCATTGCCTGCGGTCCCATTCTGTTCCTCTGGGACCCTTCTCACTCCCCTGTCTGTCACCTCCTCCATGAAATGATGTGAAGAGGTGAGGTCACAGCTTTTAAAAATATTCTGACTTCATTAACCCTGTGAGTACTATCAGACTAAGCCAGGTTCCTCCTGGCCCCTTAATTGTTGCGCTTCTCTGCGGCACTTCCCACTCATTTGGGTGGCAGCCACAAGGGACAGCCAGGACCTACCCAAGATGCTCCCCAGAGGCCCCAAAACACACACACACACACACGTGCACACACACACGCACACAAACACACACACGTGCACACAAACACACACACACATCCATGCATGCTCACAGACATATTCATGTCCCCTACACAACCAGGCTCCTGGAACCTGGGCTCTCAGCACCTCTCAGTCCTAATTCAAAGGCACTCGCCCTTTTTCTATACTCAAGTGACCTTCATCCTATTTAATGTGGGGCTCCCTTCCCCAAAAGTCCTGTCTCCAAGCAAAGAGGGAATTGGGGTCCTTCCCCCCGTTATTGTGATTCCTCAGAACAGACATCTCAGAGGGAGGGATCCAGAGTTTGGGGATTCAACCTGAGGTGGGATCTTGAGAAAGTTCCTTGCATATCTTTAAAAAGAAATAACTTATCTAAATCAGTGGCTCCTAAGTGTGGCAGAATATCAGAACCACGGGGGAGATTTTTCCAAATACACCCGCCTGGACTCATCTTATACCTTCTGAGTCAGCCTCTCTAGGGAAGATATGTTTTGGAAAACATGCCCCAGGTAATCCTGATGAAGAACCAGATTGAGGGTCATTGATCTTGGTGGTTTCCAAGACTTTCTACTCTGATCCTAGGTCCTATCCACTACTTGTTCCCCACATCCATTGGGGAATCTGTGACCCTGGGAGGAGGATTTCAAAGCAGCTGAGCTTTTGGCCTTTTGAGCTATGCCTCAGCCCTGGCCTATGCTTCTGGTTTGCTTGTAGTAAGTCTGGGTGATAGTAACTACCCAAACTCCATCTGGATGAGTTGTCTGGTTGGGGCAAACTCCAGAGCCTACCTTCCAAAGAGCTGGAGAGGGACAAGCCAGGCCCACCCCTCTTTCCCAGCCAGTAGCCCCCATGCCTTGCCTGGCCATAGAGGCCTTGAGGGTTCATTAATCCCCAGAGCAGATGGAGATGAGGGAGGGTTAATTTCTGTCCCAGCTTCCTGACAGCTGGGGCTGACAGTGACAGAGTGGATAGCCAGGAGACCAGGAGCAAGGGGGAGGGTTGTGGAGCAGGAGGCTCTGCCCCAGGACAGGTCTAGTTCTTGGCTTAGCTGGTGAAAAGGATCTCCGAAGACACAGCATTCAATGCCCATTGCTTCTCCCTACCAGAGAGGAGAGAGGATTCATCCAGGCCCTTTGGTCCCTAGGTCAGTGCCCTCCCGGATGCCACCCTGTCTGGACAAGAGAGGAGCCAAATCTGCCCTTCAGAGTCCCTGGCCCGATTGCATCTCACCATCTTTGCGGTAGTAGAGGATGTCCACCTTGCACTCCTCAGCCCCCAGCAGGGCTTGAGCCAGGCGGGACACAGCGCTGCTTGGGGTGTTGGGGCCTGTGAGGAAATCGCAGGTGCATGGTCTCTGCATCACCTCCACTCGGGAGTAGCCGAAGAGTTCACAGAAGCCGTCGTTGCAGTAAATGATGGCGCAGTTCTCCATCTGAGCATTGGCAATCAGGAACTTACGACCTGGGTTAGGAGGTGAGAGGTAGGAAGACCTTGGCAGCCAGGATTGGGCAGTAGAGAGGAAAAGATTACGGGGACTGATGGCCGCAGGGAGGGGCATTTAGATGCCAGAGTAGGGCAGGAACCAGAAGGAGAGATGGGTAGATCAGGTTGGGGGATAATGGAGAAAAAAGAATCTGGGTGATTCTTCTGAGAATAATGAGGGGGGTGAAGGAGGTGGGGGGATAGGTGACCAGGTACATGGGGGAAAGGAGGTTAGGCTTGGGGATTGCAGGAAGCCCACGGCAGCAGAGGTCAATGAGGTTGGAGGAAAGTCCAAGGCCTTCTGGAAACAGTGAAGAGGGGACCAGGGAACAATGATGTGATTCGTTGGGGGTCAGACCTGGGAAAAGCAGAGTAGCCAGGTCTACTGCGGGGAAAAGGAAACCTTGGGAATGAGGGGTGGTGATCACCAGGGGAAAGCCAGTCAGTGACTAGAAGGCCCTGGGGCGCCAAGAAAAATGCTCTGCGGGGAGAAGTGGAGCTGCATTCCACCCCTCGTTTTCCAGAAGAGAGGATAGCATGGAGAAGGTGTTGAGGACTTCAAAGGATTTTGCATTCAGAATCCGGCCCCATAACCCCCTCCTGTCCCATCAAAAGTTAGTAAAGGGGTCTGGCCCCTCCTGCCACAGAACCAAGAGTCCAGATCCTCCTGCCCCCACCCCAACACACACACTCACTCTGTCCCTCGAACTTGCGGATGATGGTGTCCAGGTAAGTGTTTTGGGGCGCGACGTGGCCCCTGCGGACCGGCATCTTTCAGCAGTGGACCCTGATGGGAACCACCTGCGTCTCGGCTCTCTGCGTCTCTGCCTGTCCTGGGGCTCAGTGGCGTCGGGCTCGGGTGGGCGCCGCCCCGGGGGAGGGCCTCCAGGCTCCGTGCCCCGCCCGCCCGCAGCGTCTGCCCTCCCCGGCCGCCGCTCGCCGCGCCTCCTCCCCTCAGCGCCCGCCCGGGAGCTGTCCGCGCCTCGGTGCTGAAAAAAGCCAAGGCCCGCCGTCTGACTGGGTTTGCAGGGCGGGGACCAGAGGCAACTTCTCCGGGACCTACAGGCCAAAAATCGTCCCTGGATCCTGGGGAGCAGGGCGGGGGTCCCGGGCCTGGGATGGGGCAGGGCTTCTCTGAGGAGGTTCTGTTCATGTTCACTGGCCAGAGGTCTCAGCATCTCCCGAAACTTCTCCCAGTACTGAAGGGCAGTTTCCCCTTCCAGTACAGGGGAGCCTCCCAGACAGGCGAGTGGGCAGACAGAAGGAGTTGTTTGGGGCTCCGGGTGATCTTTTTCTGAAGGCTCTCTCCAGGGTCTGACCACTGAGCCTGACCCTAGGCCTCTTGTCCTCAGTTCATAAGTGCCCTCCAGTCTGGCCCCAGTGCCCATGAAGTGTCAAGCCCCACCAGCCTTGACCCTGGGAGGATGGGGCAGGATACACATGAAGGTGTACAAGAAATATGCAATAAGGTGCCTTCATAGCATACAGGCATAGCTTGAAAGAACAGACTTAAAACCACCTATTAGTAAGTGACCACTGATAGAAGTGTTTGAATACCAATTGCAAATGAGCACACTGGAAGAAGCAGATGGAGGTAGGGTGCAGTTTATTGAGGCTTTTTGGAGAGGAGAAGGGGACCATTGTTTACTGAGCATCTTGGTGGGCTTGGAGATTTGCAGAGGATCCAAGACCAATTTTGAGCCAGGCCTTGAAGGAAAAGTGTTCAAAATGGAGCGAGGCAAAGGCCAAGGGTGATGTCAGTGCAGAGGGACTGAGCTGGGAAGTGGGAGAGGTGAGGATGCAGAAAAAGGGTAATGTATAAAGACCCTCTGATGCCATTTTGAAAATCTAGGTTTAATTGATGGACAACCAAGTTCTTCAGCAGTTAGACATTTGGAAGGAAATTTGAAGGAAATATTCTGGCAAAATAAACTTTACAATGATGGGTGGGGAAGGGAGGATGGCCAAGGAGGCTCAGTGAAGCTTTTGCTGGAGTCCAGGTGAAAGGCTTGGAGTCCTCAATTGGGTGTGACTTTGCCATGCAGAGCCACAGTGTCTGGTAGGGACCTCATTGGTCACTGTGGCTGGGGATGAGAGGGCTGCAAATGTGGCCTCCTGGGGGGGGGCAGAGGTGTCCTGGTTGCCCCTATTTGGGGGCAGGCTGGCTGTGAAGGAAAGGTGGGGCTGTTTCTCACCTGTTCAGTGAGTGGGGTGCTCTGAGAAGGGACTTAGGCAGAGGGACACTCATTCGTTCTCTTATTCAAACATTTTTTGAGCCCCCATTATGTGTCATGGCTGGTGTCTAGAGATGTTACACAGAGTCATACTCCTGATGTGTGACCAGCCCTTACAGAGCTAACAGCTAATATTGGGGACAACTAAGGACATTACAGCACAGAAAAGTAAAAGCAGTAACAGGGACACTAAATGAGGGAACTGTAGAGTCTGGGGTGGAGTGGGTAGTGCTCAGCCTCGGCCAGAACATAGGAAGACGTCTGTAAATCTGAGCAGATATAGGAACCATGGAGACCTCAACCTGGTACCTCTGTCCCCTAAACCACTGGCTTCTGGGCTCAGATTCTTTATCTGGAGAGAGCTGATCTTGTCTTTCGGCCATTCTCCTACAAACTTAACTGCTGCCCTAGTACCTCTTCTTTGTGGCTTCTGGCTTTAATGCTCCTTCCCCTCAAGTCTCCTCTATTCTCTGACATGCACTAACTTTCAGGTTCCCCTCGAGGCCCTAGACTCAGTCCAGACTTGGTGAGTCTGAAAATATTGGGTGTGGCACCCCTATGGCCAGCAGACTGGAGGGAAAGGACTGTCCCTAGAGCACTAATATTGAAAATATCCTCCTATAGCTCTCTCCTCATCCTCCCATCCCTCCCCACCCCCAACTGAGCCTGGAAGGGCACTGTTTGCCCTGTGCTTGCTCCCTAGGGCAACAGGCCAGGCGGCAGGTGTGTGTGTTGAATAAGGCCATCTCCGGAGCAGAGTGACTGGAGATGAGCTTTGTTTAAATATTAAAGAAGTCAATCATTAATCACGCCTGGCTCTGTGCCCAGCTACCCACTGTCTCCATTTGGGAGGGCCTGGGCTGGGGTAGGGAGAGCCACGGGGAAGTTGGTGAGGCTACTTGCATCTTAAGTGGCCAAAAAAGAGCTTTTGGGGATGGGATTATGTAGTCTAACACAGGGTGGGCCAGAGGATCAGTGGAGAGGTGTGCCGACCCACATATAAAACACAATGATCATAACCTGGGCACCACCAATTCGTAAAGGAAAGTCCAGTTATACCTGAGGACATTTTATAAGGGTACTGAAGCAGAGTCCTTTTTCTAACCAGAGCAGAGATTCCTTGAGTCCTGCAGCTCCAACCAAGCCCGGTAGCTGGGCTCCTGAACTAAACAAGGCTATGTGAAGAATCACTTCTGGGTATGACTTGTGACGGGGGCGGTTTGGAGGGAGACAGCCACTGAGTCACTAAAACCATGGTTCCTGAGCCCCTTGGAGAAAGGGGGTTGGCCTGGAACCCAAAGCACACATGGAATCACAGTTGGTCACCTGTGCACATGGCGTCACACACCAGTTTGCAAACACACAATCAGAATGCCACATGTACCCAGATCTGCCACAATTGCACCCAATCACAATTGGGCACTATGCTTGCAGACTCTCCCCTCCCTGCTATCTCACCCTCCCTGGCTTGACTGCCCTCCTCCTGCCCCACAACTTTACCAGTCTGACTGGTGGCTAGTCTGCGCCCCAACCATCAGATTTCATCCACGGAGGCTTCTAGTTCTGCCATGTGAAGATCCGAATAGTCAAAATAATTGAGCACAGCATCAGGATAAGACAGAGGCCCAGCAGCAGCCACTATCCTCGGGCAGCCTGGTGGGGCTCCATGGGTACACACAGGAAGTTGGTGTTGCCTGTCTCAGTGTTGTCTGAAGAGTCTTTGTTCGCTGACTGTTTTTCCATGATGAATAGCCTGGAGGCCAACCCCAGGATCATCAGGAACATGATGCATAGGATCAGCAGCACCCACTGCCCGGACCTGGCTGCCTTAGGCTCCAATTCCATGCTCAGGAATGCCGCTTTAGGTTTTCTTCTTTCTGTGGAAGACAAGATGGTCTCACAGAGAAGATGAGTCTGAGGAGGGGAACTTGGGGCCCCCTGTGGCTGTCGGGGAAGATCTGACAGCCACTGACCTTCTCTCTTCTCAGGTCACAAGTAAGGGCATTGCCCCAGAAGGAGGATGAGAAAGAAGAATAGAAGGAAGAGAAGGAGAAGGTGGATGTGGGTAGGGCAACATACCCCATGGAGCTCAGTCAGGAGGTAAGGTGTTAACCCTCTACTCAGATGCCAGCCTGACAGTCTAGCTGGCTTGTGTGCCAGGAAGCAACTGAGTTTGGGGCTGGGAAAACTGAGTTTTGTGGTCATGGCTGAGGCTGCACCAGGTCTGGTACAAAGAGGGCCCCCCAGCAGCACTGCTGGGCTGGCTCAAGCCAGGCTGTAGATGTTAAGGTTAGAGTAGGGGCTGTCCCAGGGCAGGGCAGTGTGGGGCCTCGGGCTGCACCAGAGTTGGGAGAAGGGTCAGATTATCCAACCTGGGAAGGAACAGCTGAAGTCTGGCCAGCCCAGGATTTCCCCCTGCTGCACATTCTCGGTCACCAGCCAGTTCAGCAGTGGCTTGAAGTAGCTCAGGAGGGCCTCCGAAGACATCTTGGACTTCCCAGTCAGCTCCTTTAGGACCTGTGGCCAGGGCTTGCTTGAGCCCACCTTCAGGACATCCCTGGGGGCGTGAGGACAACTGTGAGGCCATGTGAGGGTGTCAGCAGGTGCTCCTCAGTAAACTTAACCCTGGCCCCAGGACTTTGCCAGCCAGAGTCTACCCATAGAGCTCAGCATAGTGGGTATGACCACCAGCTTTGAAATAAAACTCAGGTGAGTTTGAATCTCAATTCTGTCACTAATTAGCTGTGGGTTCTTGGGTAGGTAACCTAACCTGTCTGAGCCTCAGTTTTCACATCCATAAAATGGAGATAATAATAGTATCTGTTGGGTGCAGAGCAGGCTGAACTGTGTTGTCTGCTGGGCAGGCTGAACAGATGTTGGCTGCAAGATAGCCCACACACTCAAACCCCCCTCTATCTGGTCTTTTATCACCTGTTTGCCTCAAGTCTGAACATTCAACCCTGCTTAAGGCTGAACACTTAACCCCCCCTTGGGCCATCAAGGCAGCTTGCAGACCCAGAGGCCCCATTAGATTTGGGCTATAAAAACTCCCTTCTGCCAGGCCCCCCTCTCTCTTGCTCTCTCTCTCTTGCTCTTTCTTTCTTGCTCTCTCTCTCTTGCTCTTTATCTTTCTTACGCGCGCTCTCTGTCTCTCTTTTGCTCTTGCTCTCTCCCTGTTCATCTCTTCTCTTTTCTCTCTCTCTCTTTCCTTCTTTCCTTTCTCTTTGTTGCACTGCTGCAATAAAGATCTTTTGGTTGCTCCGAGTGTTGTGGTCACTTTCCTTTCAGTATCTACCTCACAGTGTTGCTGCAATGCCTAGAGGCAATAAATAGAAGCAATGATTGCTGCTGCTGCTGTTTATCAGCACTAATGCTCATTGTTATTCTCCTGGACTCAAATAGGCATGAAGTCTGAGCTACTACTGTTCCCTGTGGGGTGACCAGGGACAGTAGGTAGAGGCAGCTTTTCAGCTTTCTGATCTCACAGGTAGGGTTTGGGAGAATTCAAGAGCTCATGAGCAGGAAGGGTCTCTGTGTGCCACCTGCAGTACTGCACAAATGTCAGCTCTGTCTTCAGGCACACCCAGTACGTGGTGGCAGGTGGTAGAGCCTTCAGCTTGGCACACTGTCCTCACGGTGGGGGGTACAGGGTGTGCTGAAGCCAGGTTTCCTGGCTCCTAACCCCAGGCTCCCTGCAGAGCAGCAGTGGGTAGATGTTGGTCCTTTTTAACCTGTTGGTCCCTGATCTGACCAGGAAAGAAGTGGGGTCTGGGGGCCCAGAGGTCACCATGTTCTAAACCCAGAAGTGCTTACTTATGGGCCACAGAACCTCAGGAACACAACTTAAAACCTCTCTCAGCCTCAGTTCCTCATCAGTAAAATGAGCCCCATGAGTACCCGCCCTTCATCGCAGTGAGGAGTACACCAGATAGTGATGAAGGAGGACTTTGTAGCCTGCAAACATAACACACATCTCTTAATAAGCAACTGGGAAGGAATGAGGGGGAAAGTAAAGGTCAGCATATTCTTGGCTGAAATCACTGGAGAAGAGTGTAGTTAGGAATACAGAGAAATGAAGGTAAAGAGTTACCAAGATTGAAAGAAAAGAAATAAAAAGCAAAAAACAAAACAAAAAAACTTGGTGAGAGGAGTATATTAGACGCCAGATCCTGGGTAAAAGGAAGAAGCTGATGGGAGAACTTCATCCACTGAGAATCTGCTTACTTTTTTTTTTCTTTTTTGGGGGTACCAGGAATTGAATCAGGGGCATTCGACCACTGAGCCACATTCCCAGTCCTACTTTGTATTTGATTTAGAGACAGGGTCTCACTGAGTTGCTTAGCACCTCACTTTTGCTGAGGCGGGTTTTGAACTCGTGATCCTCCTGCCTCAGCCTCCTGAGCCGCTGGGATAACAGGCATGTGTCACCGTGCCCAACAAGAGTCTGCTTACTTAAAAACAGCTCTTCAGCCTGTGAGGACAAAGTCTGTGACCCACCAGTGGCCCATGTGGGCTGCACAGAGGACAGAGGGCTGCAAAGCTGGCAGATGGGCATTTCTTGGAACGCCCAACTACAAAGTAACAGCAGCGTATCCATGGACAAGGTCAGGCCTACCGTGGCAGGGTGCAGGAGGTAGGCAGACTTTGGGAACTTAGATGGGGTCCACTTGGATCCTCCATTCCCAAAAGAACAAGACTGGAGCCTGGTTCAGGGGATTTACACATAGGAAGTAGCAAAATCAAATTGTAAGCTACTTGAAGCAAGCTGGTATGGTGGCGTGCACCTTAATTTCCAGCTACTCAAGAGGCTGAGGCGGGAGAATTGCCTGAGCCCAGCAGTTCAAGACCAACCTGGGCAACATAGTGAAAAAAGGAAAAAAAGGTATGTTTGGCAAGAGTAGCCCAGAATCTCTTCTTCTCTCCACCCCTCTGTGAAACTGAGGGAAAACCCGAATAAAACCTCTAGACTTAACCCACTTCTCCTCTTTGCTAACTTCAGTCACCTTTCCCCATGTGTCCTCAGGGAGGCAGATTTGAGACATGGGTCTCCTTTCTCACACTTGATGCACTGTGAATAAACTCTTTCTAATTTGCCAAATTACTCATTTCAGTGATTGGCATAATGTACTTCACCCAATAACACCTGCTTGCCACGCCCCACATCCCTGCAAAACCCTCACCTCCTCTGTCCCCTGCAGAGCCCACTGTCCAGAAAATGGTGTTCCAAGTCCTACACCTGGATTCAGGTCTTCCCAGAACAGGGATCTGGGCGGTGATACAGGAGGACTGGCGATCAACAGTGAGAGACTGGCCACATGGAGTGGAGCCTAGTGCACCCTGGGAGCCCTGTGCACCGGGGTGGGGCAGAGGAGGGAAATGGTGAGAATGCCTGAAGCCAAACGTCCCACCAAGCAGGTGGGATAAAGAGGGGTGATTAAAAGTGAGCTGATGTAAACTGGGCACAGTGGTGCACGCCTGTCATCCCAGTACCTCAGGAGGCTGAGGCAGGTGGATGTCAAGTTCCAGCCCTGTCTCAGCAACTTAGCAAAACCTTGTCTCAAAATTAAAAAAAAAAAAAAAAGTAAAAATGGCTGGGATGTAGCTCAGTGGTAAAGCACCCCTGGGTTCAAGCCCCAGTACCAAAAATAGGAAGTCAAAGTAAAGAAAACAGGTCTGTTACTTCTTGCACACTACATTTGGGTACAGAGATCCCTTCTTGGTCCCCTGGAAGACCTCCTAAACCTCTTTGCATGTCCACCAAGGCCTTTCCTATTGCTGTAGCCCCTTCCTAATATTTTAGAATTTATTAATTTCATCCATTGCCCTTTGCTGAGTGCAAGGCTGCTGGTTGGCACTGGCACAAGTAAACATTTGCTAAATGAATACATGGTGGGCAGCCAGAGACGTAAATGCAGATGACAGAGGTGCCTTATGTTCAACACATTCAGAAATGCGAAAAGCTAGGCCATCAGCCAAAACAAACCCCTGTGGTATGAAAGGGTGGGGGATGGTAGTCATGGAAAGTACAGCTCAAGGTCCAGGGGACCAGTCCTGCAACACATCTGGCCTGGTGATCACAGACAAAGTTCATGGTGGAATCACAAATATGCTCATTAAATATGCAAAGGATACCAAATTATGTGGGGTTGCTAATCCTCTGGGAGATAGGAATAAAACTTCAGGTGACCTTTACCAATTATCAGAATGAACACATTAAAATCAGTAGAAATCAAGAGGAAAAAGACCAGGGCAGCCGGTGGACTCTGCATCTCAGTGGTTGGGGTGTTGATCTTAGAACCATTAGACCTGGGCCAAATCTCTCCAGAAGGGCCTGTGTCTTTGGATAGAAGAAATGGTGTGAAAGACCTTGTGTTTTGGAGTAGTTCTGGCTTCAAAGCATGACTTTGCTTCTTGCTATATCGAATGGCACACAATCATGTCACCTCTCTGACCTTCTGTTTCATAGTTTGTAAAAGGTGGATGGATAATAATGTCCATTTTATAAAAATAAGAGTAGCTAACATGATGCATGGTAAGAACACTCATCAGAGAGCCTGGACCATTGCAAGAATGTTCTGCATTTTCAATTTAGGCCCCGAAACCCCTCCAAGTTTGCTTCAGGACCGAAAACAAACAAACAACCAAACAAACAACAACAACAAACTCATTCCACAGAGGCAGGAATGAAAAGGCTGAGCTAAATAGCAAGTGTAGGGAGAAAAGACCGGGGGATCCAAGTGGACCACAGGCTGATCAGAAGCAAGCCAAGAGACTGGTGCGAAAGCAACTTGGATTAGTCTAGGAACTGGACGAGTACTTCATGGAAAGGTGGGAAGAGCAGAGTGCATCCACTGTTGCCTCAAATGCTGCTGAGGGGACAATTGGGCACTGCAAAAGGGACGCGTAAGGAGATTCAGGTAGAAAATAAAAGGACAAGACAGGGCTCCAGCACTGGCTCTCTTCCTGGGACACTGGTGTCATGCATGTGCTCATGTGTATGTGCATGCACAAGTGTTAGCCAGAGAGGCTAAATAGCATGTTTGGCCACAGGAGGATAAACAAGAGGAAATGGGCTTCAATTAAAGTAGGACAGACTGCAGTCTGATACAAGGAAGAATTTTCACTAGAATGTCCACCCAGTGAAGCTCTGCCTAGGGAACCCAGGGTGGCCAGCGGAGACGAGAGAGCCTGGAGCGGGACTCCCTGTGAGGAAGATGGAGAGTAGAGGACAAATGAGGGAGGCGGGCACTCACCCTAGGATCTTCCCAGCCATCTTGGAGTTATAGATGCTACACTGGTGCAGTGGTCCCATGTGGCCTGCGGCCTTGCACAAGGCTTCGTGGAACTGGAACTGAAGCACTAGGCTGATGAAGTACCTGGAATGTGAGGGCAGGCTGGGAAGTGGGGTCAAGCGGGGGAGTCCAGGACCACATGGGGCCTGGCAGCTCTGACACACAGTGGCCCTTGTCAGCAGTCACCACCTTGGACAGGCCCTATAAGATTGGAGGCTCTCCTTCTCGACCTTCCTGACAATCACCCCAACCCTCACCTCCCTCTTCTTCCCCTCCTCTAGGGGACAGCAGGGATGGTGTAGAATATTCCCATTAACTCTGCCCTTCATACAGGATCTGATGGGAAAGTTCAAAGGATCCCAGGGCACAGCCCTAAGAAGCCTGTGCCATCTGAAGGGAAGAGGTGGACAGGGCTGCAGGAGATGTTTGAACCTGGAGATGCTGGGCGGAGTCACCATGACCCTCAAATCTCATCTCCCAGAGCTGGTACTGCTGATAGCACCCAGGCCCTTACCCTATGTAAGGCATGCTGGCAGAAATGTGGAACTTGGCACCCGGGTCAAAGTCATCCTCTGACCGAGGAATAGGGGGGCATAGGCCCTGGTACTTCAACCTGGTAGGAGAAAGACAGAGGCTTGCTCATGGTACCTGGAAGGTTCTCAGAGCCTTTTCTTCTTCAAAGCGTTTGTATGTCCATCAAAACTGGACCAGGCTGGCCAATATGTCTTCATTCATTGAGTGAAAAGACGTGAGATTGGGAATCAATCGGGTCTCTCTGGGGAGGTGTTATCAAGAGAACAAGTAAGGTCAAGTTCCTGCTTGTATCCGTCTCCATCCTGGTGATGGGAGGCGGTGGATTACAGACCGGGAAACAGGCCGTTTCATCTGGTAAGTAGTGCAAGAAGAAAACAGAAACCCCTGCGGTGTGGTATTACTAGTGTTCCCATTCTACAAATGAGGAAACCAAGGCTTAGAGATGAGGAATTGACTGCAGGACCTCAGTAGTCACTGGGAAGAGCTGCAGGCTCACACCACCCTGTGTTCACCAGACTTGAGCCAGTCAATCCGGGGCCTGGTGGATGTGGAGATGCCCTGGTCATGGGCATTTATTATTGAACCAAATGATGTGCCTGACTGGGGCAGGCTCCTTTGGCAGCCTGAGGATGCTAAGCCCCTGGCAGGTGTGCGTGTTGTCCGGGTGGTAGGCCGGCCTCTCCCCAGTGGAAACGATTTCCTGAAAGGAAATGCTCAGGTCCCATAATCCCCTCTTCTGGCCTCACTGTAGGAAGGGGAAGGGAGAGAGGTGCAGGGGCCTGCCTGGTGGTCAGTGCTCTGTTCTCAGAGAAACGCAGCTTCCCAGCCACCCCGGAAGCAGGTGGGACCACCGCTGGGGTCCTCGTTTTCACAGATGAGATTAAAGCCTACACTTGCTCAGTGCTGGTGACAGATTGAGGTGACAGAATGAGGTCCTGTGGTCGCCCATGCTGGCTCCACCCACTACATCATGGATACATTTATCTGATGACAGCAAACAGTCCACCCTGCCCTGGGGCTTCCCCGGCCCTTAGGGCACCAAAGTTGCACCCTTCGTTCTGCTTCCAAAAGAGAGGCCAGCAGCACCCTCTGGCAGTGGTGAGGACCCCTATCCAGGGGTGAGGATGGAGCAGAGAGCCCAGCACCACTGCCTTCCCTACCTGAAGTTCCACCACTCCTGGTTGTAGATGTCCTTTTGGATGGTGCCATCAAAGATCTTCCAACGAAACCTATCTATCATGTAGCCGAAGGGGATGAAGGCGATCTTGTCCAGAGCAATGCCCATTAGGAAGTTGACCTCCTCCTCTGGGGACAGGGAAAAGGTGATCAGACGGTGGCTCCTGGACTCTCTCTCTTCCTTTAGCCTTATCTGGACACCTCTGTCCCCCAGATTCAGGCTGCCCTCCTTCTTTCTCCTTGGTCCCCAGCACCTGAGTCCTGATGTTGCTGGCTGAGCAGGCCTCTATTAAGCAGATGCTGATAGGAAGAGGCTGAGAGGGTGACCATTGACCCCACCGCCTCTCCAAAGGCAGGATTGGCGCCTTCTCGGAAGAGGATGGAGAGGTTCTTGTACTGTAAGAAGTACTGGATATGGCCCATCTGGTGGAAGATGGACAGCAGATCTTTTATGTTCACTTCGGTGCACTTCTTTACCCTAGGATGAAAGGGCAGAGGTCAAGGGGCGTGGGATGCTCTGGACAGAACAGGAGGCTTCTCCATTCAGGCTCTTATTAAAGGAATGGGGTGGATGGGCAGGAGATCAGAAGAACCTTGACTTCTGTCTTTTCCTCTCCAGGTCCCATATCCAACCAGTGACCAAGGTGGTTGCTTTCATATCCATCTCCCCTTCTGTGCTCCCAGATCTCATTCCCCCTCCCTGTCCCATCTCTTCCATTGCCCACTCCTCGCCCAGGCTGCCTGCGACAGGCCGATGTGGGCAGTGGGACAGTACAGGTTGGGCTGTGGTGCTGACTGCAGGCCGTGCTGGTGGCGGGCACCTGAAGTCTTTGCCATTGTAGAAGTCCCAGGCAGAGGTTTGGCACTCCACTTCCCGCCCATCGGGTGGTCTCTCCAACATGGACTTTTTCCAGAAATCAGGTGGGGTGGCCAGCATCCCCAAGGAGGTAAAAAATTTTTCAGCCTCTTCAAACATTTTCCCAGGCTTCCAGCGCTGTGGGGAAGAGGGTGCGTGGGCACTGCCCTATTTGCTCAGGGGTGCTGGAGGGTGGGCACACCCACAGGCCAAGAACTGACCTGGCCTTTCATGATCTTCGTGATGTCCTCCGGGGGTTTCTTGGGGAAGGGCAAGACCAGGTCTAGGATGTTGACCCATGACTGAGCCCACATGTTCCCTGGAAGGGGAGTGGAGGTGCTAAGAGAAGGGGACAGTGGTCTCCCTGCTTATTGAGCGCCTGCCTCTGCCACCGGCTGGGCCTTTACCTAGCAGGTGAGCAGGGATGGGCCCCCTCACGTCGATGATATCGGGCCCGTAGTGGCGGTGCAGGGCGCGGCGCACGTAGGCGTGCAGGTTCAGATAGAGCGGCTTCAGCTCCTGGAAGAGCCGCTCCAGGTCTTGCTCCAGGGTCTCATCCTCATACTTGGAGCGCCACAAAGCCCCCATGTCTTTGTAGCCTGGAACAGGAGAGGGGACCCACCAGGTGCTCACTACCCTTCCACCCTGGCCTCGAGAGGCCGGACACCCCGCTGCCTTCCAGGGAAGCCACTCAACCTTGGAGTCTTCATCTGCAAAATGAAAACACTACCTCCCAAGGCCACTGTGCACGTTGTCAGATCAAAGACGAAAAGTATCGAGTGAAGCCCACAACGTGAGCTCCAAGTCATGCCTGCTAGATCCTGTCTTCTTCCACCCTGCCTGAAGCCCCCTTAACCGTAGCCCAGTGACCACGTGGGTTTATTTCAGATCCTCCAAAATGCCAGCTCCCTCCCCATGGGAACTTCTGCCTGGGATGCTCTTTTGCCATGGCTTGTGTGGCTCTTGCCCATCTTTCTGTGTGAACATCAGAGAGACCTTCTCTGACCACATATCTGGAGCTAGCATCTCCTCATTCCCTCCCTGGGCAGTTCCTTCCTCTGCGACACCATCCCAAGTGGTACTAGACATGAGTGTTCAATTGAACACAATCACCTCCCCACCAGGGCCATCTGTTTATCTTTACCCACGTGGTTTGAGAACTTCTGCAGTACCCAGCACACATTAGGTGCTTTACCAATATTTGGGAAGCCCAGCTCCAGAGCCAGTGGTGACCCTCTCTGGGCCTCTGCAGACTCAGCTTTGTCCCTTCCTGAGTGTTGCCCTGGGACTGGTCCAACCTGCTCACCGTTGAGCCGCGCGGCCTTGTTGCTGAGGATTACGTAGCGCTCGAAGATGGGACGAAGCTGGCGACCCACAGCATCCCGCCAGCCTTGCCAGGCCCACAGCAGCTCCTTCTGGTCCCTGGAGTTGGCCATGATTTCTTGGAGGTCTGGGCCCAGAAAAGGAGCTGTGTAGGACCCCGTGTACCTTCCTCTGCCCTCAGCCTCCCTGGGTGCCAGTCTCTGACCAAAAGAACACAGTTTGGGGTGGGAGGCCCATTGAAGGGGCAGGGTTGGGTGCTTACCAGGCTCCAGGGGTAGGCAGGGCCCCTCATACAGGCACACCTGGGCCATATTGTATGCCGTCTCCATGTAGGCCAGAAGCTTGTTGTACTGGGGGGGCAGGTGTCACCCAGGGCAGGCCTGTGCCCTTGGGCCCACTCCCAGCACTAGCCCCACCAGCCAGGAGAAGTGGGCCTGGCTGAAGCTCCCACCTCCAGAGGAAGTTCTGGTCCCCGCCAACCCCCTCCTGCCCCAGACACGCTGGCTCCCCCACCAGGCCTGACCCACCCACCCCTGGGGTGGGGGAGCATGTGCCTGGAGGCCTGGGGCTCTATCCATCACCTCCCAGAGCTCGTCCTTGGGCAAGGCTGCCTTGCCTATGTCCAGCAGCTTACTCAGCATGCGCTTCACGGCCGGGTCCTGGAACTGGGCGATCTTAAACAGGCGGGCCCGGCTGCGGAAGTACACCATGACCTGGGCCCTCTCCAACTCCTTGTGCAGCTGGAAAGAGCGTCACTGTGTTTGTCGTGTCAGGTCAGGGGAAGGTGTAAGAATCCCATGTCGAGCCCCAGGGCCACAGCACCCCAACCCCCTCCCAAAGCCCACTTGAATGGTCTAGAAATAGTGAAGATTTGCTAAGAGGAAGAGGGAGAAAGCCTGGATCCCTAGAAGCAAGAAGGTAAGATTTACAAGTGAAAAGAAGCCACAGATTCTTATGCAGAGAAAGTCTAGGCCACCAAGGGGCCTGGAGTTTGCAATTAGCTTTAACATGTGCTTTGGGGTTTCCCTCTTTCCTCTAGCTCTGGAAAGGGGGCAGGAAGTAGGGTCCCCAACCTCCCAAGACCCCTGAGAAGAGCAAGAGGATTCAGAAGGACTGGGGGGAGGTGGTACCACACCATATCCTCCCGATTTTTCTTGGTGATGTTGGTGACATAGTTCCAAGCAGCCTCCATGAACTGGTTCAACACAACCTGGGCTGTTTGCTCATAAAACTGCAGGAACAGCTTTGCCTCAGTCTCGTTGTAGAACTCATCTGCAGGGAAGGGGATGGGCATCATGTGGTCTGGGGAGGCCTGCCCCTGCCCAGTCCCCTTCTCTGGTCCCACGCTCCTTCAGGTCCCAGCCGCACCTAAGCTTTGATCACCCACAGTCATGAGCCATGGCAAGAGCTGTCCGTAACAGAGGAGCACAGTAGGTAAGGTCCAGGGCGAGACCATCTTGTTCCCATGACCAAGAGAACAGCAGAGCTGGAGGAGGCTATGGGCCAATCACGAGCCAGCTCCATATTGTGACATCAGGGGCCACAGGGTCAGCCATGGAATGTTAGAACTGGAAATTCCCCGCCTGCCTTCTGGTGCAACTGTCCCCATTTTATAGATGAGGAGACTGAGGTCTAGAACAGTCGAACCATATGACCTGGTTCACCTGGCCAGCTGATGGCAGAGCCAAGAGGAGAACACGGGACTCTGGAGTTTGAACTTGTTACTCTACTTAGTCACTTCATCCCTGGGCATTGACCAGGAATTGATGAGATTCCTCCTGAGTAGGTGAGTGGGATGATGGATGGAGGGAGGGAGGGAGGGAGGGAGGGAGGGAGGGATGATGGATAGATGGATGGAAGTGACATAAGAGACTGCACCTCTTATGTTCACATTTGGAGCCTTTATGTCTCTCATGGGACATGGGACCATCCCTAGGCTGTGTAGGACCCTTCCTACCTGCGTCTATAGGGAGAGTCTGACGCTGAGTGTGCAGCCAGCATAGGCATAGGAGGTGGAGGACCGTGTGAGGTGTGCAGAGGGGTGACCAGCGACTTCATTCAAGGTGTGTGTCTGTGAGTACCTGAGCCTGATTTCAGCACCAACCACAGCACTCAGCAATTTGATGGCCCTTGGTGACTCCCCAGTACACTGACACATATAGTGTGGGGAGACCCACCTCACCTGCCCCACCTCAGAATTCCTTCCTCAGACTCACTCCCCTTTACTCACAGAACCCTCGATTCTGTGTCCCCTTTAGTCACCTCAGCTCAGGACCACCCACCCCTTCACATAGGTCAACACCATGGCCACAAAAACTGACCAGAGAGTTAAAAAAAAAAAAAGCGCAACACACATGCGCACACACAGACACAGAAAGAAAAAAAATCAGTGACACTTCTAGCTAAACTGATCAACTGAGGTCACAGGAAAGTCCCTCCTCCTGATTCAAGCACATAGCTATGCCTGATAAAGCACAGTATTTTGAAAATGAAGAAAGTAGAGCTTAGCTGCAAACTAGGAAAGAAGACTCGGATGCTGGAGGTGGCAGTGAGTGGGGGTGAAGCCCTGCAACCAGGGGGAGGGTCCTCCATGTACAGAGCTGCAGCCTTGCTGTCTGCACCTGCTGGTCACCTCCTGGGGGGTGGAAGCCTCACTTCCATGGAGCTGGGAGGTAAGTTCTGACTCTCTTTCTAAGGGGACCCGCAAGAAGCAGGTGTGCGCATGAAATCTTGCCGGAAGCCTTTTCTAACTCAGTGAGGGTGGCTCATAGGTCAAGTTTATTGTTGAGTAGAGGAGAAAATCTGGTGCCAGGAGGGACTGTAACAACCTGCACAAGTACTGTCCAAGTGCTGGGCACCATTAGGGGCTTTCAGTATCAAAATCCTCAACAAACCCATGAAGTGGGTACATGGTCAATGTCCTGTTTCACACGCATAGAGAGGCTGAGAAACATGCTCACAGTCACACAAATTAGCGAAGTGTGGAGGGGAAGCTCAAATCCAAATTGTCCGGCTCCAGAGCCTGGGTTAAACTTCAGACACGGTGAATGGAGCAGGCCACACGGAGGAAGGACAGGGCTCAGCAATCTGAAAGGGACTTAAAATACAGGTCTCTATGCCAAATACAATAACTAAAGATGCCTCTAAGGCCAAAACAAAAAAGCAAACGCTATAAAATTTTTTTTTAGAAGAAAACATTGGGGAAATGTTTAATGACATTGGATTTGGCAATGATTTCTTGGTTACGACACCAAAAGCCCGGTAACAACAACAAACACAGACAAATTCAACTTCATTAAAATTAAAAAACCTTTGTGCATCCAAGGACCTCATCAACAGGCAGCCCACACAATTGGAGAAAATATTTGCAAATCCAAATCTGATAAGGGATTAATATTCAGGACATGCACTCAGCAATCCTCTAACTCAACATCCAAAGAAGGGAGAAGGATTTGAGTAGACATCTCTCTCAAGAGGATATGCAAAGAGATCATAAGCACAGCAAAAAATAATCAGCAACATTAATCATTAGGGAAATGCAAACCAAAGCCCCTTCACACCCATTAGGATGGCTATTATCAAAAAACCCAGAAAAGTGTTTGCAAGGATGTAGAGAAATGGGAGCTCTGTGGGAATGAAGACAGGTGTAGTGACTGTGGAAAATAGTGTGGAAGTTCCTTTAAAAATCAAGCATAAGCGGCTGGGGATGTGGCTCAAGTGGTAGCACGCTCACCTAGCATGCGTGAGGCACTGGGTTCGATTCTCAGCACCACATTAAAAAAATGAACAAAATAAAGAAAATACATATAAAAAATCAAGCATAAAATTACCTTCTGTTCCAGAAATTCCACTTTGAGGTATCTACACAAAAGAAATGGAGGTAGGGGCTTCAGTGTTCATAACAGGATTATTCACATTAGCCTTTGGAAGCCCAAATATTCATCGACAGATAAATAGATAAATAAAATGGGGTGTATACATACAATGGAATATTATTCAGAATATTATCTGATACACGCTCCAACATGGATGAGCCTTGAAAATATGCTGAGTAAAAACTTGGAATGGAACCACCATTTGACCCAGTTATCCCACTTCTCAGTTTATACACAAAGGACTTAAAATTAGCATACTACAGTGACACAGCCACATCAATGTTTATACAGCTTAATTCACAATAGCTAAGCTATGGAACCAACCTATGTGCCCTTCAACAAATGAATGGATAAAGAAATTGTGGTATATACACAATGGAATATTATCAGCCATAAAGAAGAATGAAATTATGGTATTTGTAGGTAAATGGATGGAACTGGAGACTATTGTGCTAAGTAAAATAATCCAATCCCCAAATTCCAAAGGCTGAATGTTCTCTCTGATAAGCCGATGCTTTCTTACAATAGGTGGGGGGCAGGGGAGCAGAGGGTGGGAGGGAGATTCATGGGACTGGATGGGAGGGTCTTGGGGGAAGGGAATGAGAAAGTAGAATGAGTGGACAAAACCTCTATGTTCATATATGAATACACAACCAATGTGACTCCACAGCACGTACAACCACAAGAATGGGAAGTTATACTCCGTGTATGTATGATGTGTCAAAATACATTCTACTGTCATGTATAACTAAAAAGAACAAATAAAAAAAACATGTGGGGGTGGGTAGGGAAGAATGAAGGAACTTTGCATTGTGCAGAGGGGAGTGAGGGGAGGGTGGGGGTGTGGGGATGGGAAGGATCGTGGAATGAGACAGACATTATTACCCTATATACATGTATGATTACACTGCTGGAGTCACTCTGCTGCATGTACAGCCAGAGGAATGAGAAGTTGTGCTCCATTTGTGCACAATGTGTCAAAATGCATTCTACTGCCCTGTATAACTAATTAGAACAAATTAAACATTAAAAAAAAAAAAAAAAAAACATGCTGAGTGAAATAAGCCAGACCTCAAAGGATAAAGTTTGTGTGATTCCACTTACATGAGGTATCTAAAAGAGTCAAATTCATAGAGACGGAAATTAGAACCGTGGTTACTAGGGGCTGGAGCAGAGGACAATGGAGAGTTACTGTTGAATGGGACAGAGTTTCAGTTTGGGAAGTTTAAAAAATTCTGGAGCCAGGCACAGTGGTGCATTCCTATAATCCCAGTGATTCCAGAGGCTGAGGCAGGAGGATTGCAAGTTTGAGGCCAGCCTCAGCAAGACGCTGTCTCAAAATAAAAAATAAAAAGGGCTGGAGATGTGACTTAGTGGTAAGGCACCCCTGGGTTCAATCCTCAGTACCACTGACACACTCACACACACACACTCACACTCACACACACACACACACACACACAAGATTCTGGAAATGGACGGTGGCTATGTAATAATGTGAATGTACTTGATACCATTGAATTTTATACTTTAAACATTTTTTAAATAGCTGGGCATGTTGGCACATGCCTGTAATTCCAGAGGCTCAGGAGACTGAGGTAGGAGGATCGCAAGTTCAAAGCCAGGCTCAACAATCTAGAGAGGCCCTAAGCAACTTAGTGAGACCCTGTCTCTAATAAAATATAAAAAGGGCCAGGGATGTGACTCAGTGGTTAGGTGCTTCTGGGTTCAATCCTTAGTTCCCCTGTCCCCCCCAAAAAAGGTTCAAATGAGACTGAGGTGTAGTTCAGAGAGAGAGAGAGAGAGAGAGAGAGAGAGAGAGAGAGAGAGACACTAGGGATCAAACCCAGGCCTTGGACATGCTAGGCAACTCCTTTACCACTGAGCTAAATCCCCAGCTCCCCACAAAAAATGACTAAAATGGTTAATTTTTATGCTATTTGTATTTCATCATAAGTTAAGACACAGGTCTTTAAAGGAGTTAAGCAGGATCTTTGAAGCCAAACTAAGCTTTTGTGAAAGCACAAAACCTCCTGTGAGGAGGATTCTGAACTGAGCACAGAGGTCAAGCAGGAGGCTGAGGAGGAGAATCGGGGTCTGGAGAGACAGAGCCTGGGGAACCCCTGGGGCTTGCAGGTAAGAAAAACAGCAGAAGACGCAGAAGACAGCCACCGCAGATCAGACGGGAGCCCCCACCTCCCCAGAGGCTGGAGAACCAGAGCAGGAGGAGCATTTAGAGATGACAGTGGATTGTTCCAGAACTGGAGACGGTGAAGGAGGCGGGGAGGCAACGATGACGAGTTTTCCATGGGGCGCTGTCACCCTTCAGCTCTGCTCCTCTTTCGGTGTCTCTCAGGAGCCTCTGATCTCGGCCAGGCTGGCAGCTCTTTCTCAGCCTGGGGCTTGGGGTTGTTGGGAGCATGAGGCAGGTGTGAACTCTCCGGACCAGGGCCCCAAGCCCTCGGTTTAGAGAGGAAACCCTGCCCCCAGGACCTCCTACATCATGCCATTTACTCTTCCCAGCAACCAGGAAGGATTCAGAAGGACCACTTCAGCAGTGTGGAAATGCAGACGCAGAAAC